AGCAGGCCCTGACAGCACCTCCTCAGTGGGCCCAGTGCCCCTGACCCCCAAGACTGCCCCAGAGTCGAAGGACCCAGTGTCAGGGTGAGGGTCCCGGAGGGCGGAGCAGGGTGGCGCCTCTGTCCTTCCTCCAGCAGCCGGAGGCTCACTGGGCAAGGCTTGTGTAAGTCGCGGCCCAGACCAAGTCAGCTCTTAGTTCTGTTTGTGCAAGCGCAGTGGCCCTGTGAGTAATTCTTCAAGGACAATAGGCCTGGCTGGGAGTGGCTGGGTCACCGGAATGTTGGCCCTGGAGATCCTATCTCCTTCCTGTGACTCGGTGTGGTGTCCTTGGGGAGGCGGCCACCTAGTCTCTGCCCCTGCAGGAAAGCAAACAAAAGGATTCCTTCAGCGGGCCTGGGCTGCCCGCACCCCGCCCCAGGGTATCTGGGCGCCTGAGGCAGGTCGCATGGCCTTGGGCCTGGCCTGGACCCTTCCTCCCGGCACCTGCTGAGAGCCTGGGGCTCCCTCAGAAGGCCTGGGGCACCTTTGCAGTTTAGGGGGTCGGCTTCTCTAGTTGAAGGAACTTCGACTGTGTCTTGGACGAGGTCCCAAAGCTCTGAAGCTCGACCCAACGCGGCAGATGCCTTTGAACTGTCCCCCACGGGTCCTGGCAGCCTCAGGGGCCACCACCGCGACAGCTGGGCACAGGGCTGGGGGACCCTGCAGTGCCACCTATGAGCGTGTGGGGCCGTGCGGAGCGGGGGTCGAGCCAGGCAGTGCCCTAACCCCTGTGCTGTCTCCCAGCCCCTGGCAGAGTGTGTTGCCAGTGACAAGCTTGCCTAACACACTGTCGCCTCCTTTTTTTTTTTGAAATCATGAAAAATACTTTGATTCTTCAGATGCAGTGAATCCTCTCTCCTAAACAAGGGCCCTCTATGATCTCTCCCGAGCCCACAAAAATAAACCCCGTCAGGGCGCTAACCTGACTGCAGGGCCAGACCCCCAGGGAGCGCCCAGCTCTGACCCTCCCCACAGCCGCAGCCGCAGGCCGTGGGCTCTCTCCGACCCGTTTGCTAGGATTGGATCCGCGTTTTTTGCCTCTTGATTGTTTTTCAATCCTGTTGTTACCCCACTCTCTGCCCAAGGAGTACTTCTGGAGCAGTGAGCACAAAATCTCTCGGGAAATCCCTTCTCAGGCTCTGCCTAGAGAATCCCTTCTCAGGCTCTCCTGAGAGGCTGGTGTCTGCCGACGGGGCTGAGACCAGGGGGGCCGGCTCCTTGAGAAGGGAGTCGCTGCGAGGGCAGGGAGAGGCTCGGGGGAATGCCAAGGCCCAAGTCGAACTCGCTTCCTCACTTTGCTTTTTGGGCCGGACGGACTGTTCTGGCTCCTTGCTCAGGGTCCCTCCTGGCTCTGCTCAGTGGCCTGTGGATTCCAGGGGCCCGATGGGCCGCCCGTGTGCAAAGCGTGCGCTCCAGTGCTCTGGGCGATCCCTCGGCGCTCCCCCACCCATTGCAGCGCTGGTCTTCTTGCTCCTGAGCTAAAGGCTGTCTGGGAGTCAGCTCGAGGGGGAGAGGCTGTGGAGCGCAGGGGAGAACGAGGTTCCACCGGCCCGGGTGGGCAGTCCAGGCCAGGGAGCGGGCAGAGACGGGCCAGAGGGTGACGCGTTTCCTGGTCCGACTGTCACCTTTACAACTGGACGTCCACGTGCGAAAGATTGGAATTGGCACTCTGCTTGACACCGGATTAGCGTTGACTTAAAGTTGAACTTAGACCTAGTGGGAAATTGTAAGCTGTGAAGCACTTACAAGAAGGCATCTTTGTGACCACGTTAAGGCAGTGCTTTGTTGGTCACAAGAGCATGTGCCACAAAAGAATAAGAAGATTCCATCAAAACTAACAGCTGTTGTACTTCAAAAATCACTGTCAGGAAGACGAAGCAGAGAAGGAGGTTCAGCATTTGCAAACTGTGTAAGTCGTAGACATGCCAGGATCCCTAAGAAGTCAGTCAGTCGTCAGAGGACAGGGGACAGAAATGAGAACTGAGAATCGGAGGGCCAGAACCATTCAGTGAGACACTATTTTACGCTCTGAGATTACAGAATACTGACAAAGATGGGGAGAATTTGGAAAACATCGGCGTGATTGGCTAACATAGCTTGGGGCAGCCACTTTGGAAAACATTTTGACATCACTGTCATTCCTGGGTGTGACCCCAGAACGAGCCTCCGTCCACACAGGCTGCGTACGCTGGGGCTCAGAGACACGCCTCGAGCGGCCAGGGTGGCCCCGCAGAGCCCTCAGCTGGTCACAGACCCAGGATGGGAAGGACTGAGGACACGCCGAGGCGCGTGGGCCTCAGGTACCCGGGGCTCGGTGGCTGCACCCAGGGCCTGATGCACAGCACCCAGGAACCCCAGACCCAGCTGCAGGACGTGGCTCTGTGCCTCGACTCATGCGAACCCTTGGAGACTGGAAGCAGATCCACATTTCCGGGCGGGAGGGATGCCCAGGGGGATGCTGATGACCCGGGGCTTCTCTTATGGGTGATGACAGTGCTCCAGAATTAGGTCACGGGGTGGTTCCGGCACTAATGCCACTGAATCGTCCCCAGCACGGGGGAGGCGTGGGCCGGGTGAATGAATCACGGCGCAGCGGGGCTGCCCTAGAGTGCTCGGTGCGGGCGGGTAGGAGCCGGAAGCCTGACCGACTGGCAGTGCTCTGGGCCCAGCCTTGGGGGTGGGTCTGCACCCCGGCCGCCTGCAGCTCCACCCACGGGCCCCGAGCGTGCGCGCTGCTGGGTTGCAGCCCTGCCTTGCTCTGCGTTTCTTCTGATCAGTGCTCTGGTACTAGAAAAGAAGTTACGGAATGTTAGAACGTGGTCTCAGGGTGCAGGATCAGACGGGGCCTGGGTCTTTGTGTATCAGAGACAGTCAGATGTGATCAAATCAGAAGACCGAGATTCTTGATGACGCGTATTGGTTTCAAGACCGTTTGTTAATGGCGTAGTAAGAAAGTGTAATTGAAACGCATTTAGAACGGCGAGAGGGAAGAGAGAGGTGAAGAGAGGACACAGGCTCCGGGGCAAGGGCGTGCCAGCACGGTGCGTGTTCGAGGGGAAGCCCGAGCTTGAGGAGCCAGGGAATATGGCCTTGACGTAGAAACTTACATTTTCTGGGGTTTGAAGAAAATCCCGCTTCCCCCTTCTTAATGTCCAAGTTACATACTGAAATCAACAGTCCAGAAGCCAGAGTCACAGCGCTGTTGGGTTTTCATTCGACGGTAGAGACCCGTCCTCTAAGAACTGCTGGACTAGAGCAGCAGAGAAGCCTGGCCCTCGCAGAGGGGCGCTCCCGCCCGCACCCTGGGCCCGCAGCCACCTGACACGGCAAGGTCTGAGCGACTGGCAGTTTGAGACGTTGTACCCCGAAGGGGGGCGCCTGGTAACCATCCGCTCTGGGAAAGCCGGTCGGCGCGACCGGCGTGGGTGGGGATGCGTGTCCACCGCAAGCGGAGGCCCCCTGGCTGTCTGTCTTGAGCTCAGAATCGCCCGGACTCACGGAACAGGACTTGAAATGGAGAATGCAGAATCGCGAGTCCTTCTCGTCCTCTGTTTGGGAACGTGCTGAAAGAGAGCGGAGTCGGGGGCAGATGGGCGTGTCTGAAGCCGTCGGGGCGAGGGGAGACTCGTGCTCACCGCCGTGCTGGGCACCCCCTGGGTTCTCTCGGGCCCAGGCTGGTGCCGGGTCTGGCTCTCCCGGACTCTGCCTACTCCGTGTGTGCGTATCTGACCACACCATTTGCTCCCTGTACACAGTGTCCACACACAGACACACACACACACACACACACACACGTGCTCACATGTGCCAGTAGCTCTGGGTTCTCTTCAGGAGGGAGTAGAGCACGCCCCTAGCATGACCATAGGGGTCTCTCATTCTTCCTGTAAAACAGCTGTTCTGATCTGCTGGGGATCAAGAAATGAATCTTCTGCCAATTCCACTTGAAATTTTTCTCTACCTTGATTCTTCCTTGAGCTCAAGAGTTACACTCTGTATCTCACCAGTGGCTGCCCCGAGTTTCTCCTCTTAGAACCCGGACAGGCATTTCCATTCGGCGTTTCGTGTCATTGTCTCTGCTTCCCCTCCTGGGCTGCCGGGGCCCAGAGTTCACCCGGGCGGCCCGGCCTGAGCCCCAGCCCTCCGGGACCTAGTTCTGAGCCCAGGTGCAGAATGGCACACGTTGACCAAGAATGGCTTATTTTACCAACTTGAAGAGACAGGCTGCTTGTTTCTGCATAACTGTGGTTTGTAAACACTAGGGACGGAGTAGAATGGATTGACTTTTTAGATGCTTGTCAGAATATTATTTTTCGCTTACGTTGAACTGCCCTTGTTCTGTTATGCCATGTTGTTGAAACACTGAGGAGGTCTGCGATGGCATTGGCCTTTCTTATTGTAAGGCTTTTTAATTTAAAAGTCTAATTGCTTGATTTAAGTATTTTTGTTGTCAAACGTGCAGTGTCCAGGGCTTATTCCAGGCTCATAGGTCACTCCTGTCAGGCTCGGGAGCGTGTGTTACGTCAGGGGAAACTGGGTCACCCGTGCAAGGACACACCTCACCGCCGCCCTGCCTCTCCGCCCCTCCCGCTGCCCAGCCACCGCCACCGCGGGCAGCTCCTGCCTGTGTGACCGCATGGCTGGGACTGACAGCACTTTCCCTGACCGCAGTGTGCAGTGGCCTCGGTCCTTCCCCCAGGACTGCCGTGGGTCTGTCTGTCTGCAGACACCGAGGTCAGCGCCGGGCACCAGCCTGCCAAGGCCGCGGAATGCCCACTGCCACCGCCTCGCAGGGAGTCCTGGACGGACCCGCTGCGATGCCTCTCGGCCTGTCGCATCGGTGTGATCACGTGGGCAGTCATAGATGCCTGTGAATGATTGAAAGGAGATCGTGAGCTAAAATCACACTTTGTAAAGGTTTTTCTGAAAACTGTTTTCATAATCGTCTTTCTTTTTTCTTTTAGGCACGGAATGTTAACACCGGTGAATTGGCGGCGATTAAAGTCATAAAATTGGAGCCAGGTAAATTCATTGAAATTTATTGTTTCTTATGGTTTTAAGTCACTGAATTTCTTTAAGTCGTATTTGATAGTGTTTGGCCAACGCCTGTCGTCTTCCCTTCAAGCTTCTGGGAACCGGAGCTGGGATCTTCTCTCCGCCTCTTTGCATCCTAGAGACACTCGGTCAGTCCCGGAACCGTTCCCGCTCAGGTCTTCCCTGGGAAGCTGCCGGGGGCGGAGAGAGGGTGCAGCAGGCAGGGCGCTGGCCGGGTTCCGTCCTCGCACCCTGTATGGCCCCAGAGCCCCACCAGGAGTGACCCCTGAGAACAGCAACGGCAGAACCGTGCCTGGTCCCTGGCACTCCCAAAGAACTAACCGAAGCTAAGCCGACCCGCCAGTCGGAGGAGAGGGCGCCACCCCAGGAGCCGTGCCTTCTCCTTGTCCTTCTGCGCCTGTCCTCCCAGGCCCTGAGAGTCAGTGACCGGCGCCGGCGGGCTTGGGGGCCTGGGGACTTGGCAGCTGCTTCGTTTCTGGCCCTCAGTCCCATCGCCTCCGCAGCTGCACGGCCCCTTGGTGGGAAGCAGACGCCCGAGCCTCCTTGTTCAGCCTCCGTCTGCTCGCTCTGGCCTGCCCCTGCGTCCCTCACCCCTGGCCACTCCCCTCACCCCCGTCTCTCGTCCCGCCGGGGGCCCCAGAGGCACAAATGGTGCCCGAGTTTGCGGGGAGGAGACGTCCGTGTGTGCTTCTGTGTTTCTGTGGCAGGGCGGGCGGGACCATGCCGGGGCCCCTGTGGTCTCGGGTGTGGCCCCTCCCTGCCGGCCTTGCTCAGACAGCCCCTGCCACTGCGTGTGGGGGGCGCCGAGCCCAAGGCCCACCACACGTGAAGGCCAGCAGGACACTCCCCAGACGCACACGGGTTGGTCAGCCCGGCTGCGCCCTGAGGGTTTTCCTTTTTGCTCTGAATCTCCTCCACAAGAACTTGAAGGAGGGACGTTTGGAATTGGTGACACCTGCAGTGACAGGGTCGCTTGGGCGTTGGCAAGAAGTGACCGTCATTGCCGTGTCCCCTGTCAGAGCTGCTTGTTGGGGCACCAGCTGTGTCCTCCGGAACGGTGCCCTGCTCTGAGCGAGGTGGCCCCCTCGGGAACAGCCATGGCGGCCTCTGGAACCACTTTGGATCTGGGCCGGGTCAGCCCTGAACAGGCCTGGCACACAGGACTCGGTTCGCCTTTGTTATTATTATTTTTTTAAACGTAGGAGTACTGCGATTTATTCAGCCACTGATTAGCTGATTGAAATGGGCATGAACTCCACCTTACTTTTTTTAAAATTTTTTATAATTTTATTTATTGAATCACCGTGAGAGCAGTTACAAAGCTTTCGGGTTTAAGTCTCAGTCATACAATGAAGCACCAGTGCCCATTCTCCACCCCCAACAATCCCAGTGTACCCCCATCCCACACCCTCCCCCTACTGTGGGGCAGATGATTTCCACATTACTCTCTCTCTACTTTGATCACATTCAATATTTCGACACCAGACCCACCATTATTATTTGGGACTTTACCCCAACACTCAGGTCTGCTGAAAAGGCAACAGTAGACAATGTGTTTTCTATTGCTGGTTATGAATAACTTACGATGTTGCACGGCTGAAGTAGTGGCCGCGCGATTTTGAAATTCCAAAAGTTTAACACTTAAATCTGGAGGAATTTCTGCCAAAACCTGCTGGGTTCCGAGATTTGCTCCTGAGTCTCTGGGATCATGGCCGTTGAGCAGCTTGATCAGGAGCCGGAGAGGCCGTTCGTGGGCGATGACTTGGGGTCTCGTTGGGGTGGGGAGGACAGGCCCGGCTCCACCCCATCCCGTGAGGCCCTGCGTGTCTCCTCACTGGGGGCCCAAACCTGACTGTCCAGTGGCCTCTGGTGGGTGGCGGCCACTGAGCCGCCAAGGGGGAGCAGGTGGAGGGACAGCACCCTTTCCTCCCCAGGGTAGCCCGGCGACAGTAACCTACTGTGTGGTCCGGACACATTTCTGCCAAAAGCCGCTGGGTTTCGAGATTTGTTTCTGAGTCTCTGGGATCATGGCCATTAAGCAGCTTGATCCAGAGCCAGAGAGGCCATTTGTGGGTGATGACTTGGGGTCTCGTTGGGGTGGGGATGAAAGGGCCGGCTCCACACCCATCCTGTGAGGCCCCACGTGTCTTGTCACTGTGGGCCCAAACCTGACCATCCAATGGCCTCTGGCGGATGGCAGCCACTGAGCCGCAAAGGGGGAGCAGGTGGAGGGACAGCACCCTTTCCCCCCAGGGTAGCCCAGCACCAGTAACCTACTGCAGGGACCCGATGTATTTCTGCCAAAAGCTGTTGGATTTCGAGATCTGTTTCTGAGTCTCTGGGATCATGGCCGTCAAGCAGTTCGATCAGGAACCAGAGAGGCCGTGCCTCCAATGATATAGCTGAGCCGGAGGTGGTCTGTGGGTGAGTCTCCCACATACCTAACTTTTGGCCGTTTCCTTTCTTGGTAAACTTTGCCCAAGTTTTTGGGGTCTGGCCAAAGGCACAGCAGCAATGTTGGGGTATCTGGAAGTCTGAAGGTGCCATGAGGCTGCTGATGCACTCGCCTCACAGGCGCAGATCACCTGCTGGCGGCACCAGACCCCCGTGGTTCACCTTTGAAGGTCTGTGTAGAGTGAGGGGGCTTCCGTTGGTGGCCGTGCTGCTCACCAGTCGTTTGTTTTCCGACTGAACGGGCTTTTCTGTTACCTGTCCAGATGATTCTCATGAAAAGAGACGGATAGATCAGCCGTGCTCTGCCTCCCAGTCTCTCCCTCTTGCGCTTTCACAGACTCCACCTGGAATTGTACATTCTGGGGCAGGGGCCACCCTCGTCCGCTGTGGTGCCCGGGCGCCTCTGGCCAGGGCGGAGCCCGGGAGGGTCCTGCCGGCACTGCCCCAGCCCGGAAGTTTCGTGGGGCATTTCTGTATTCTTGCCCACTTACATCCCGTGAAAAATGTAGGCTCAGCCCAAACACCAGCGCCGGCTGCGTGTGTGGCGGATGGCTTCGGGCCTGGCCCCTGGCCCCACTGCCGCGGGGAGGGCGCAGCTCCCTCTGGGGGTGGCTCTGGGCTCTGGGGCCGGCTGCGCTCCCGGCCCTGCCTCCTGCTGCCCAGGGATGTGGGCGGCCCCGTCTTCTCTGCCAGCGGCAGTCCCTCCTCGGGCAGCTCTCGCGCCCCAGCCCCCTCTCCGCCAGCCTCACGCTTCACCGTGGAGGGCGGGAACTCGCCGGGAGCTCCTGAGCATTCCTAGTGCGAGTGGACGGGTGGCCTGGGAACCCGCCTGACAGCTTGTCGGCTCATTAGACACTGGCTGTCACCCTTTGCTTCTGTGGCCCTCGCAGGCGCGTCAGGATAGCCTGAAGTTAGTTTACCTGAGCGCAGGGAGGGGGCGGTGCCTGTCTCAGAAGCGGGGACGCCACAGCCCTGCCGAGGGCGCGGACCCCATCGGGAGCTGCCGCGGGGGTCTGTTCCTGTGGTTACTGTGCCTGCCAGAAAGGGGCTCTCTGCTGCGCGCGCATGCGTGTGTGTCTGTGTGCTTGTGTGTCTTGTGTGTGTGTGGTGGGGGGTGGTTGTGTGTGATAGAAGGGCAGTAAGGGCGTATCAGCAGTCAGATGCGTCAGCTGGTGTCGGGAGGGGCTTGTGATTTGGAGAAGACCCGTGGCGGTCCTTCTTTCCACCCGGCCCTGGCCGCAGGGACACAGGTACGCGAGGGCATTTCCCCCGTCGCTCTGGGTGCCCTCGTGTCTGCTGTCCCCTGGGGGAGAGTTTCTTTTCTGACTCTTGTCCAGCTTAAGCGCCTTGCCTGGTGAAAAGCAAGTCAGTTTCTCAAGCGTCTGGAACGACTGTGACGGTGCAGAGGAACGTTGCCCTGTGCTCTCAGGATATTTTTTATTCTTGTACATAGGATTTCCCAGGACAAACTCCTGACTGGTCAGAATAATTTTTCCGGCATTTTAATATGTGGGGAAAAAAGAATTTCAGCATTTGGGCCGGAGTGATGGTACGGCAGGGAGGGGGCTTGCGCCCGTGTGGTCCCCCCAGGCCTGAGCCTCTGCAGAGCGATCCCTGACCCGGAACCAGGAGCCAGCCCGAGCACGGCCAGGGAGGGCACCTTGTAGGGTGTCCGGGCTGGAGGGCCAGCTCTCCGGGCCTTTCACGCTCCGTGACAGGCGGCGTCTGGGAAGCCCTGCACTCCGGCGCGCTCAGCAGAGGCGCCGGATGCTTCCTGGGCCTGTGCCTCACCGTCCGTCCTGCGCCCATGCGCTTGCTGCAGGGCCGCGGGGCTCGGCCCCTCTGCGCCACCCGTTGCCCGCTGCTCTCGAGGGGGCACGGCCCTCTGCGCTGCCTGGAGGGAAGCCTAAACTTTCAGCTTGGAACCCGCTTGCCCTCGGGTGTGTTTTCTCTCTTTGATCCTCCTTTGTGATCTGAGAGTGACGCAAAGCGGCACCTGCTTGTCTCGGCCCTGTGCTCAGGGGCCAGGCAGGACAGTGGGGGGATGCTCGCCCTCCTGTGGCCGGCCCATGCTCGTGCCCCCCAGGAGTGAGGGGCCCTGAGCCCAGACGAGGAGCTCGCCGGGGGAGAGCAGCAGACGGCCTGCAGGCCTGAGCGGGTGCCCGGGACGGAGGGGGCGGGCGTCGGGGCCCCCCTCTCCGGCCCAGCTCCTGGCGAATAAAGGACAGACTTTGTTGTTTGCAAATAGAATTAGTCTCCAGGTTAAGAAATTGATTCATTTGATCCAGATCATTGATCCCCGTTGCGGGCAGATCCTTTCAAACGAGAAGCCAGGGGCGCGGCAGCTGCCGCTGGGCGTCTCCTGTCTGTCGGCATCCCACGCCCGTGTCAGCAGCAGCTGGAACAGGAACCCACTTTGGTCTCGCTCAGGGCGCCCCATGCCGGGGGGGTGGGCAGTGCGGCTGTGCAGCTTCTGGCCGCCGGAGCGCTTTGCGCTAGACCAGCTCAGTCCG